ACAACTAGGTTAGAAATTACTACCGCTTTAAATACTCATTGTAAACATTTCAAACTTACTAGAATATCATTACAAGTTACTTTATAACCCGACAAATGCTTCAACAAATTAATAAAAACCAAAAATGTCATCTAATCCCCAAAACCTACCACTTAATTTCACATCCCCATAAAATGTGGTTTTTATTAACTTCCACAACGAACAAGAACATATTGAGTTTCAAAGGGGAATTCTTAAAACGCGATTCATAAAATGCAGATTATAGACATTGTGCAATAAGGTTAACGACGAAAACTGCCACATAACGGAAACGACGGTAGTAAAATAGAATTTATTAAAATCGTTTAAGTAACCTGCATGAATTTCCTTAGGTAAAGATGGGAAGTGGGTTAAAAATTAGTTTAAGGAGTTCTTTTTGCGTAATAGCAAAATCCGATTTTCCGCAATTAAATCCCGGAGATCTCTACATTAGATACGTAGCCCCGCTTTCATGCGGTCTTCATTCAATCTACTCATCTGAAGGATTTCCCTTGATGTTATATCTAAAGATTTTCAAATCTGCATCCAGAGAATTTTACCATCCTTTCACTGGATCATCAACCTGGCGCAAGAATTAATGCATTTTATACGATCCCTTTCACACGAACGTCTTTTAACAATTTTAAACCCCGTTCAGCGCGAAATCCTGACTGATATTTACAGATGTCCCCTTGGACACTTTTGAAATGGGAAACATTATAGATTAATATTTCACAGTAGTTCTGAAGATTATTCTATGAATTTAAGAGTGGCAAGGGATTAAGTGTTATTGTTTAAAAAAAATAAGTATGCAAGTGACTGCGAAGATTTTTAGCATATGTCTAGATGAAGTTTGATTGGGTTTGCATAACTTGGTTCATGCAGAAACAGAAATGAGCATAAATATTGGGAATTTGGGATATTTGGAAATTTGTGAAATTTGAGAAATCAGAGAATTTGAAAATTTGAGAAATTTGAAAATTTTAAGAATTTATGAATTCTGAGAAATTTGGAAATTTCATAATTTGGGATTTCTAAGGATTTTGAGGAATTTGAGAAATTTGGGATTTCTGAGAAATTTGAGAAATTTGGAAATTTGGAAATTTGGAAGTTTGGAAATTTGGAATGAGGAAATTTGGAAATTTGAGGACTTATAGAATTGGGAAGGTGTATATTTAATAATTTGAAAATTTTAAGAATTTATGAATTCTGAGAAATTTGGAAATTTCATAATTTGGGATTTCTAAGGATTTTGAGGAATTTGAGAAATTTGGGATTTCTGAGAAATTTGAGAAATTTGGAAATTTGGAAATTTGGAAATTTGGAAATTTGGAAATTTGAAAATTTGGAAATTTGGAAATTTGGAGATTTGGAAATGTGGAAACTTGGAAACTTGGAAATTTGAAAATTTGAAAATTTGATAAATTTGGAAATTTGGAAATTTGGAAATTTGGAAATTTGGAAATTTGGAAACTTGAAAACTTGGAAATTTGGAAATTTGGAAACTCGGAAATTTGGAAATTTGGAAATTTGGAAATTTGGAAACTTAGAAATTTGGAAACTTGGAAATTTGGAATGGGGAAATTTGGGAATTTGAGGACTTATAGAATTGGGAAGATGTATATTTAATAATTTGGAAATTTAAAAACTGTGAAAGTTGGAAATTTGGAGAATTTGGGAATTTAGGAAATATTAAATTTATGAATTAGAAAATTTAAGAATTCCGAACTTTAGAAACTACAAAAATAACTTAGAAAATATATGAATCAAGAAAATTTGAGAATTTGAAAATTTTGTAATGTGCATAACAAAAAATGATGTACTGAGAATTGAACTTTTATTTTCAGTCATCAGTTCGTTCACTCAATTTATTATTATTACGCCCAAACGTCAATTACTCATATTTCCTGCTTTTTCATATGATTCGATAAATAATTCTGGTGAAATCGCTTGAATGTTACGAGGTTTTCATTGCTGTTATTCGTTTATACCACAATCTGTTACAGGACAAATAAATAAAACTGACTTTTCATCGTTCTATGGCAGAAACAATTTAATTTCTTTATTTGATTAAAAAAGTGTAATTCATCAAATGTTTGTTGTCTTTTTATTAAAACATTGATTGTAGAACGATTACAGAAATAAAAATTAGTTAACAACATAGTTGTTGTATTCAAGAAAATTTTTAATTATAATAATAATTATAATTAATTTATGTGTAACAATAATAATTATGATATTATATAATGAAAGTTTTACAATTAATTAAAGTTTTATATTATTTATTAGAATTTAATTTATAATACAACTTTTTAATCAAAATTAATTTTTTAATTAAAAAATTTAGTACAAAATATTTGCAAATCATATATGTACATAAACTGCTGCATAATTACTTTTGAATTAAAAATAATCATGTATAATGTACAATTATTTATTCAATATAATTTTTTAATTGTATTAAATATTTCTGAGTAGCATTTAAAATAATTAAATAATATTATGTAGTAGTTAAATGTAATATTAATTAAATATATTAAAGTAATGTTAAACAAGTATTATTATATTCTGTCAAATATTAATTATTTGAATATCACTTATAAATTAATTATAAATAATTTTAAATTAGATCTATAGCTTAAATAATATTAAAAATCTTGATAAATATTATATAAAACTACTTATTTAACAATTTTTTTAACAATTTATGAACCTGACAAAAATATTGTATATTCAACAGTAATTATAATTAGCTTATATAAATAACTTGAATAATAATATTAAATATGTCTTAAAAATGTTAAACAACAAGTTATTTAATATTTATAACAATTTATGAACCTGATAGAAACATTGTATATTCAACAGTAATTATAATTAGCTAATATAAATAACTTGAATAATAATATTAAATATGTCTTAAAAATGTTAAACAACAAGTTATTTAATATTTATAACAATTTATGAACCTGACAAAAACATTGTATATTCAACAGTAGTTATGATATGAGCTTTAAATAATATTAACAATTTAAATAAAAATATCGAAAATATTTACAAGTATTAAATAACTCATATAACATGTGTAACAATTCATAAACCTACTTAAAAGTATTGAACATTCAGTTCCATGAGTATTTAATTCTACCAAATGTTCGTAAATTACTTAATATTAACAAAATACCGAATCACGTTTCCCAATTCGCACGCACGACATATTGTTCCCGTGTTATTCTTCGAAACATTTCGTCAATGCAATAATTTCGAATTAAGTTCCATAATAAACGCAATATCCACGGTTCATTTTCACTGCGATGCAGTTATATAATTTAATTAATACCAACGACGCTGAAACGTGAACTGTTAAAGCTATTACGGATGTAAACGAGTTAAACAGCTACTGGCTACATATGAATTCGAGAAATTAACGTGCATAAGTCTGCGTCTGAGATACGGTGGCTTAGTTTCACTTCTCGCTAAAATATTATACACAAAATTGTAAAATAAAAAGCAAACAAATATTGTTATAAATTATTTCTGTGATTATTCATTCAATTCGAATGAAATAATAATAGCTTTCTATATCTATAAATTGAAGCACGTGTTTCTAGAGATATTTATTGAAATTTCCTATCAATATTTCATTTAATGTATAAACACGGAAATATTGAAATATTTTTGCGAAATCTAATATTTTATGTATATCAATATATGAAATTCTGACGCCAGTGAGTACAGTCCCTGTCAAAATTTATTTTGTGACGGATTTGAAATTTGATATTTGTGGATCTGTAATTTGATATCTGTTGACCTGAAATTTAAGATCTGTGAACCTGTAAATTTATATCTGTGGACCTGAAATCTGATATTTATGGATCTGTAATCTGATACTTGTGAACCTGTTTGATATCTGTTGACCTGAAATCTGATACTTGTGGACGTGAAATTTAATATTGTTGACTTCAAATCTGATACTTGTGGACCTATAATTTGATGTCTGTTGACCTGAAATCTGATACTTGTGGACCTGAAATTCGATGTCTGTTGACCTGAAATCTGATACTTGTGGACCTGTAATGTGATACTTGTGGACCTGAAATTTGATATCTGTTGATTTGAAATCTCATACTTGTGGGCCTGAAATTCGATGTCTGTTGACCTGAAATCTGATACTTGTAGACCTGTAATGTGATACTTGTGGACCTGAAATCTGATATTTGTGGAAATTAGATATCTGTTGACCTGAAACTTGATATTTCCAGTACTCAATGACGTCATTTAAGAAACTTAATGTCCAGAGTGCTTAATAATTTGAAATTTGAATGTTTGAGTATTTCCAAATTCGAAACTAGAACATTCGAGCATTCGACAACCCGAAATTCCAACGTTTGAATATTTTATTTTAACGATAATTGACACAGATTTCACGACCTCGTCAAACTCTGCAACTAGAAATAAAAAACCTATTAAAATTCGACCTCTTCCACACAAAAACTTCTTACACCCCATTTTAAAATATAGTCCTAAGCTTATTGCACCCCATTTTAAAGTATTGCTCACCCTATCTCTAACATAATCAATCATAAATAATTAAGCGACTTTTAAAAATAATTGGAAGCGAACATTTACTATCCGGTGTCAAAGAAATCGCATAACCGAATCACGAAGCCGTGACTAAATCTCTCGACAAGTTTGTCTCGTCTGGTTTTCATAGAAGGAAAACTATGACCACAATTCTGTCCCTTTGGTAAAATCGGGAGAATAAGGATTTCGTCGGGAAATATAAAGAGACCGGCTTAGTCTCCGCTTGACCCGCTTACGTTAACTCGGCCCATTCACTGCCGAGTTTCTCGAGTACTTTGCAAACTTTAGCGCGTTCGTGGATGGCTTATAAGTAAGTGAGCGAGTGAGTATGTGTACCCTGGTTATGTAAAGTATTCGCCCTGACAGGATACTTAAGACGAGGATCTTTCATGTTGCAGATTTACCCAAGTTCGGTAAACCGTTGAACAACCTGACGGTCTCGGTGGGCCGTGAAGCCATTTTCACCTGCATCGTGGAAAATCTTGGCCCGTACAAGGTAAGATTTCTTAAGTTTGACAGTATTTGTACAAGGGTGTCCTTGCATCGCGAAGTTAGTCGATTCAATGGAATATTCTAAATGACGGAGGTGAAATGTTACCGTCCACTTTACGTATCATTTGACAGTTATCTAACCGATTATTCTTGCAATATTACTTTCGATGGACCGTGAAGCCATTTTCATCTGCATTGTAGAAAACCTTGCCACGTACAAAATTTATTAAATTTTACAGTATTTACATGGGTGACTTGTATCGTGAAGTATCGAAGTTTTCGAGGCATTCGAAATTAGTCGATTCAATGGAATATTCTAAATGACGGAGGTGAAATATCGTCCAAACTATCCTATCATTCGACAGGTTATGTTCGAACAGGTTCGAACCAATTATTCTTGCAATGTTACAAAGAAACTTGAAATGTTAGGCAAATGTGATCAACTGATTATAATTATACTTAAATTTAAAATGTCCTCAAAATCAGGTTTGGCACATTTGAGCTATGAGGTGCGGTGTACGAGGTGCGTCATGTGCGTCGTAGCGTCAGTGACGATGAAACGACGCGACTCATTAGGAATTCCAACAAGTGAACATAAGTGGATATCTAAATGAATTTGACTTCGGACTAGAGTTTATTTTGCTGTATACTTGATGACGAGAGCTTCGAAGATTTTTTACAAAAAAAATGGGCGTATTTTTGTGACATTGCTGAGGGAAAACGGTTTCTAATTTTCTGTTGGTATAGCTGAAATTCGGATGGAGATGGAAAAGATGAAGTGGTTTACAAAGTGACCGTAGCAAGTAATAGAACCAAGCAGTACCTCCACATGTATATTAAAAATTTGAAATCTTTTTATTAACATTTAAATTTTATTAACAATTTTTATTAACATTTCGACTCATGTATGAATAAAATAAATCATTTATGTGTCATTGGGCATATAAAAGTCCAATACAAGTCCACAAACGAGATTTTAAAGAAATGGAAAGGAAAAGAAAGTAATAAAGGAAATACAGATCGAAAGAAGCTACAATAAACAGTACAAATAAATTCGGGAGGAAAAATTCCACGAGAGTTCCTATCCAATGCGTATCTCAGCAACTCCATTTAAGTAGAAATAAAATCCCATGGGGTGTGAGTTCAGCAGTTTGTTAAGTGGTTCCTGACCCCTTCTTTCTTTCCCTACGCTAACACTTTTATCCATCTATTCTTTTTTATTCCTTTCGTCCTTCTTCTTCTTCCCGCGGAATTTAAGCGTCCTCCTTTTGCGACCCTTCCGTTTCGAGCACCGACGCGTTTAGAATTTATGGGCCCTGGGACAATAATCGACATTATTTTCAATCGTAAATTTCAGAATTTGTAGTTTGCTGATCTTGTAACGAAGAAATTAGTTTCGTGGGAATTCTTAATTCTGAATGGTGGATTTTTTTAATTATTGACCTCAAAAATTATGATCATAATATATGCATATATTTTATGATCATAATGTATGCATGTATTTTCTGATTATAGTATATGCATATACTATATGATTATAATATATGTACACTTTTTATGATCATGATGTATGCATGCATTTTGTGATTATAATATGTGCATATACTATATGATTATAATATATGTACACTTTTTATGATCATAAAATATATGCAGATATTTTGTCATTATAATATGTGTATGTACTATATGATTATATTATGTGTACACTTTTTATGATCATAATATATGCAGACATTCTGTGATTATAGTACGTGAGATTTCTCAATTATGAATATTGGAAGATTTGAAAAATAACAAATTTTGAATCATTGACCTAAAAAATTTCTCATTTTCAATATTACGAATTTTTTATTTTAAACATTAGTTAATTCTAAAAATACAAAATTTCTATATCTCTAATGTTTGAAATTTATCATTTTAAAAATTAAGCTTAAAAATTTCTGTTTTTAATTTTCTATCCTTGACAATTCCCAACTCTTATAATAAACAAATATAACTGCCAAATGTGTAATTTTGAAAATTTGCCTAAGAACTTAAATTCGTGAACTAAAAATTCTAAACGTAACAATGTAAAATTGTATAAATTCCAAAAATGGAAGTACGTAACAGAAAGATTAAATTTGACAGATATTGAATTATCTGCACAACAAGTATTATCTACTCAGAAAATATTGAATCATCTAACAAAAATTTATGTAAAAATTTGAAATGATATAAATGAAGAGCTGACGATATAAAAATGTCAAAGTAAATCTAAAGTCGATGAAATTTGAAAATGGCTGTCCAGAATGGTACCCGATTTATCAGTCGCTAAAGACGTTACTGCACTAACCCTCTCTTCCGATTTTCCTGCTCGGCACAAGGATACGAGACACAGTTTCCTGTATGAAATCGCTTGTGCAGCAGGACCAATTTTTTCGCAATAAAACTGCGTAAGAATTGTTTGATGGTCGTGCACGTGCAGGCAAGCAACGTGCACACCGAGGTGAAATCGATGCATTATTTTTACGTTCGCAACGAACGACATCTCGCCGGAAATGAAAATGCCGAGGTATGCTATGCTGACCGCCGCTGATACTCGGTGGAAAAAAAAGAGGCGAATAAAAGCGAGTGGCACTTTACTGGCACAAAGAACTCCACTTTCAATAATCGACACGATGCCTGCGGTAAAATTAACGTTTTCCACCGGGCTACACTTTTTCCCGCCGTGTTCTTTGAAATTTGAAGCGGCGTTGTATCGTGTCCCGTCGATGAGAATTCAATTAGCGCGATAAAGTAATTATCGAAGATAAAATTGTTATGGAAGAACCCGAATCGGAGCTGTATTTGCTAGGGGAATAATTATGGCAATCGGGCGAAATTAACTGGTTCCTTCGTAGAGGAACCGATGCATATTTCATATATGGTAATCGTGCTTAATACGAAATAGCTGGTTTTGAAAGCTTGCTACGTTTGTGTTTTAGTGGAACGTTGATAGATGAAATAATAGATATTTGATTATCTATGAAAATTAAATTAATTATTTTGTTATATATATTATTCGTTCGAAAGATGTTACATTATGTGTTTGTAGGATGTTAGATTATCTATTCAAGGGATACTAGATATTAGGATGTTGAATAGATATTTTTTATCTAGATGTTAGGTTTATTTGAGTAATAGTAGATCACCTTTTCGACAAATATTTGATTATCTATTTGATGGAAGTAGATAAATTATTATTACTTGATGGAACCAATGAATGGTAAATTATCTGTTCGAGGGATATTAGATTATCTGTTCCATACTAAATAATCTTTATGACTGAATTTTATATTTTTTACTCAACAGACACTAAATTATGTACTCAACTGATATTAAATTCGACACTAGATAGATATTAAATTATCTACTTATAGATACTAAATTATCTGTTCGAGGAGAATTAAATTACTTATTGAATAGATGCTGGATTATCTTTTCAATTGATCACGTTATGTACTTGACAGATATTAAAATATGTACTCGACTGATATTAAATTCTCCACTTGACAGATACTGCATTATCTACTTGTATATATTAAATTATCTGCTCAAGGGGTATTAGATTATCTATTCAATAGATGCTGAATTATCTTTTCAATAGATTACATTATGTACTTGACAGATATTGAATTATGTATTCGACTGGTATGAAATTCTATACTTGACAGATATCACATTATCTGCTTCTAGATAATAAATTATCTGTTTGAGGAGTACTAGATTATCTATTATAGACAGATAGATGCTAGCTTATCTTTTCGATAGATTAAGTTAACTACTTAACGGATATTAAATTATCTACTCGATATTTTCCACTCTTCAGATAAGACTATACAGATATTAGATTATCTAAAGTCATCATTAGCTTATATCAAGTGTTCGATGGTTTCTTGATCATCTTTCAGACAAATTATTACATTATCTGTTTGACAGAAAAAGGGAAAATTAATTACATTATCTACTTGACAGTAAAAAGGAACATTAATTACATTAACTTCTGGACAGGAAGAATGAACATTAATTACATTATCTACTTGCAAAAAATTTTCAGATACTTCTTATGTTTTATTGTTACAAAACTTTGACATTTATTTGAAATACTTTTTGTAACAAAAAAAGTTACATTAACATTTAATGAAAAACAAAATGTTTACATTACTTTGAAAAATAAAATTTGTATAATAATTTAAAATATAAAAATTTATCGATTCCGACATAATTTTATTTATTCCCAATCTGCAATTTTGTTATTATTCACAAATTAACTTGCAAATTTACTTCAGTCATTTTATACACGTTCTAAATAAAATGTTGTTCCAGATTTTATACACTTATAATTAGTGTATTACAGTGTTGTTACACCTGGTGTTCCCCGAAGTTAATCGTTATCTTAAAATGGTAATTAATATAGGTACTTTGAACCGAGAAGTTAAGTTTGATGATATTATCAGCTATTCGACACGTTCGTGCCACTCTAATTTCTTCCGGAGAGAAAAGCTACGTTGCTAGGGTAACTACATCAGTTTCTAAAGTAATCAAAAGTCGGTTAATTGTTCTTGAGGTAATATATTACTATGCGGTAGGCTTTTAAGCGTCTTATCTCGGATGCATTGAAGACGTAACTTTCTCTATCAATAGTTCATTCGCAGGTTAGAACTTGCTGATATTGCGTACGTGCTAAATATATTTCAGTATAACGACAGATATAACATTCTTAATTATGTCATTGCATGCTTTTGTTTCTTTAATCAGGTTCTGATTTAGAGAATTTGAATATTTGAAAAATTAAGATGTTTGCATTGGAATTTACAAGGATTCAGGAATTTAAAAATTTCTAAATGTTACAATCTCTATTTTATCAGATTTCAGATTGCAAATTTTTCGACTGTCCAATTTTTCAATTTTTCAATTTTTCCAATTTCCCAAGTTTCCCAATTTCTGAATTTCCTAACTTCCCAACTTCCCACTTTCCCAATT